GCGATTTTGCGCTATCATACTGGGTGTATGGTCGGCTGTGTGCGATGTTGCGAGTGTGGTAAAATCGCATAACAGCAAAATCGCATTACAGCCGAGCATACACCCAGCAGCGCTGCTGATGCCTGAACGGTATGTGGAATGAAGTGGGCGGGCATCGGGAGGCCGCCACTATGGCATGGGGCCACTATGGGCAGTCTATCTGAAGTGTACCTGGCGTATAAGATGACCCCCCCACTTGGAGGCATATTTTTCAGGGCCAAAAAATCGTCTTATACGCCGGCAAATACGGTAGCAACCTTAATTCCACCTGCAGCCTAATCCCCCTTTGCCACATAATGTAATATAGTCACAGGCCATGGAGATAAGAATATGGACATCTTTGGAGGCCACGATTTTGTTTGCCACACAGCCTCACTCTTACAATTAGAGTATAAATTTCACAAGACAGGGATCTTTGTCTGTTTTGCTTCTTGCTCTATCCCTATACTAGCTCAACAGATGTGTAGGTACTGTCTATGGACTGACCCAAATTCATACAAGTATGTTGAAGCCCTACTCCTCAATATAATGGTATTTGGAGATGGGGCCTTTGGGAGGCAATTAGGGTTAAATTAACTGATGGGGGGGGGTCATAATGAGATGACTAGGCTTACAAGAAGATAAAAGGACATCGACTTCTCTCCCTCTCTCTCTCCCCCCCTCTCTTAGCCTTCCCCCCTCTAGCACTGTGAGAGGCAAATGTTTATTGTTTAAGCCACCCAGTCTACAGAATATTTTTTATAATAACCTGTGCGGACTACTACAGCACTCAATAAACACGTATTAAATAATTATTGAGGCGACCTTATCATAGGCACTATAAATAGTGAACAACTATTATGCACCTACAGTATGCCAGGTACTTGCTAAGCACTTTACATGAAACATCTCATTGAATTCTCACAAGGCAGCTTACTAACAAACAGCAGAGCCCTTCCTTTCATTCTAACTAGCCTATGTGGCAGATCCAGGTGAAAAAATTATAGAATAGAAAGTTGAAGTAACTAACTTAAGGTCATGTAGCTAATACGCTGTGTATGCAGATTTTAGACTTGGCAGTGGGATTTAAGCCCATGGCTGTAATCCTGATGCTCCCCTATCCCTATCATGT